CCTGGCTCAGCGTGTCAGCGTCGTGTAGGAGCGGCGTGGTCTCGGAGGAGGGGGGTGGTTTGCTCTGCCTGGTGGGGGGACATGGGCTCTTCTCGGCGGCGGTTCCCTGCAGGGGAGGGACAGAGGTTACGGCGTGCACGCGCCGGTGGCACTGCACTCGCACCTGACAGCGCGTGCCACCACACCCCCACGTGGGCCACGCCCACCCCAAGCCTCTGGAATTTTCCCGTGGCCAACGACCCTTTTCTGAAGGCTTCTTAAATTGAAGGGGTTTGTACCTCCTCCCCCAACAAAACGAAGTAATTTCCATTCCTGCCCACCGACGTCGCTAACACACCCCACCGAGCCCCCAGCCTGAAGAGCTGTGTGGAGGAGATACGGGACAAAGTCAGTGTGCTGTGGGAGGATGATGGAGAGATCTTCTCAGGGACAGAATGGCTTGAAGACCCCCAGACACAACCTGCAGTACACACGGACAGCACTCGTTCCCAGTATAATGGTAGGTGCAGCCTCTGGAGAAGGCGAAGGGTGGGAGCTGGTGCTTCCTGACACCAAGAGGAAGGTTCCTCCTCACCTAAAGGCTTACACCTACAGAATAGGTTCACCCCCCTCAAAGCTGAGGAGGAGTCAGAAACACCTTCAAGCAGATCACGTGGGCCCCTGACCATAAATCATACAAGAACCCCAGGGGGAAGCAGGAATTGACAGAATTGGGTCACTCGCTACTGGTGGGGACAGAGACACCACCTGCCCACCTGACTCATCATCTGGAGACATTTGCTGCTCACTGGGGATTGGGGGGTTGTGGAGGGACTGTGAGGCTTATCTAACCCTTTGACTACTGCCCACTGCTGCTTCAGCGTGAGCACCACTGATACCACCAGGACCACCTGGAAACTATTTGGGCATGGTGTTATTTGACTGAAGATTGGACTTGATGATCGTGGAGGTCTTTTCAACCTTTACTGAGTCTATGATTCTAAAAGTGACTACAGACCTCAGGTGGGGGGGTATACAGCCTGGGCAAAAAAAGTGGTTAATGTTCAAGGACCACCTCCTCAAAGTTCAAGAACCCAACGAGCACCCAAAGCCAGGAAAAAATACCAGCAGGCCTACACGGATGAAACAAGAGCTCCTGGCCAAACACAAATGCAGAAAGGAAGCATATGGAAGGTGGAAGCAGGGACAGGTAACCTGGCAGGAATATAGGGGCACTCTCCCAGCATGCAGGGATGAAGATAGGAAGGCCAGAGCCCAACTGGAATTGAATCCAGCCAAGGATGTCAGAGACAAGAAAGGCTTTTATAAGTACCCAGGTGACAAAAGAAAGAGTAAGGAACATGCAGGCCTGTTCCTGAATGAGGCAGGGGACCCCAGAAACCAGAGGAAAGTCTGGAGCAAGGAAAACACACCCTTGGTGGAAGAGGATGAGGTCAGAGAATACTTAAGTAACCTAGACATACACAAATCCATGGATCCTGATGGGATTAGCAGGCTAATATCACAAGGCCACTCCCCATTATCCTGGCAATGGGGAAAGGGGCCCAAAGACTGAAGGGAAGCAAATGTATCTTCTATCTTGAAGAAAATCAAGAAGGAAGAGCTCAGGAGCTACAGGCCAGTCAGCCTCCCTTCAATCCTTGGGAAGGTGATGGAGCAGCTAATCCTAGGAACCATATCCAGGCATATGAAGGACAAAGAAAGTCATCAGGAGTAGTCAACATGGATTCACCAAGGGGAAATTGTGCTTGACCAACTTGATAGATGTCTGGGATGAAATGACTGGTTTGGTAGATGAGGGGAGAGCAATGGATATCATCTACCTGGACTTCAGGCTTTTGACACTGTCTCCCATAAAAAACCTTATAGGGAAGCTGATGAAGTATGGGCTGGATGAGCAGTGAGGTAGACTGAAAACTGGCTGACAGCCAGGCCCAGAGGGTTATGAGGTCTAGTTGGAGGCCAGTAACCATCAGTGTACACCAGGGGTCAATACTGGGTCCAGTCCTGTGTAACATCTTTATTAATGATCTACAAAAACTGGGAGAGTGGCTGATACACCAAAAGGGATCTCAGTAGGGTGAGAAACGGACTGGAAGGACCCTCATGAGGTTCAACACTTGGGCAAGAACAACCCCATGCACCAGTACATGACAAGGGTCACCCAGCTCTGAAGCAGTTTGGCAGAAAAGGACCTGAGAGTCTCAGGGGACACCAAGCTGAACATGAATGAGCAGTGTGCCTGTGTAGCAAAGGCAGCCAACTGTATCCTGGGCTGCATTGGGAGTGTTGCCAGTAGGTCATGGACGTGATCCTTCCCCTCTGCTCATCACTGGGGAGGCCATAGATGGACTACTGTGTTCAATTCTGGGATTCCCGGGCTAAGAGAGATGGAGCTGCTGGGAGGAGTCCAGCAAACGACCACTAAAGTGATTATAAGACTGGACTGTCTCTTATGTGAGCAAAGGCCAAGAGAACTGGGATTGTTCAGCCTCAAGAATAGAAGGTTCAGGGGGATTTTACCACTGTATACAAGGATCTGAAGGGAGTGTGCAAATACAGAGCCAGGCTCTTCTTGGTCATGTCCAGGAACAGGACAAGAGCCAAGTGGCATGTAAACACAAAATATTCCATATGAACATTAAGAAATACTTTTTTCCTTTTCTTTTTCTGTGAAACTGTAACAATGGGACCAGGTTCCCCTGAGGAATCTCCATCCCTGAAGATATTAAGAGACATCTGGACATGGTCCTGAGCAACCAGCTTTAGGTGACCCTGCTTGGTCGAGATGGTGAACTAGATGACCTCCAGAGGTCCCTTCCAACCTCAATGATTCAGTGGTTTTGTGATCCTGTAATACAAACCCAGATATTTTACACATGACAAATTCCCTCTTGAAAGCCTCTCTGTTGAGGCTCCCTGCATGCAGGGGAAGGGTGACACCCACCAGTTGACTATCTCTGTTACCCCTACGAGTTTTTACCCCATTCAAAAACTTACCTCTGGATCTCAGACACTTGGAAGTGGGGGGAAATAGGCAAGAAAAGATTGGTGGAAACACCAACCTTACATTTCCCCCCGATCCCTGCTGGTATTAGGGCCACAGATCAGGTACACCAGGAGAAACAATAAGAGTATGTGCTTGCAACGTGGTTAAGTGTGAGTATTAAGACATCTAAATTGCCCTGAATAAAGCCATGAGACAACGTTGTTCCATCAAAGCTTGCCAGGAGGGCATGTCTGGTAGATGTGGACAGTAAACGTTTAATTTGATTGGTTTTAAGCAAAGTTTAATCAAATCAGGATGAGAGAAAAGCATGTTACCTTGACTGGGTACCCACCTACAGTCTGGCTTCCCGCAACACCATCCCCTTAACCGGAGGCGGCTTTATGGCAGAGGTGGCCTGGTTGGCCTTATTACTGTCTGAGTTCTTTTTATTGCTACTCCAAAATAGAAAGCATTTTTCCTAGAAGACAATCAGTCTTGTTTATGGTGCACTTGGACACAAATTTCATGAGGGTTCCAATTTTCAGAGGAGATTTGAAAATCACTGTTGAGCTATAATCTAGTTATTAATGAAGATTTCAAAATTTAGATTAAACTAAGTCCTATTTAAGATTTTGGTCAGTGTCAAGCCAGTTTTAAAATGGTCTGTTTGCCTTTTAAATGTGTCACCACAAAGGCTCTAGGCCACAATGGTAAAGGAGAGATACAACGTCCGTGTGTGTTTTACACCTGTACAGTTATGCATTTTTAGAGCTTTGCGTCCAACAGATGCATTTCAAACTGGCTCCACTATAAACTAGACTAAGATTTAAGTGTTTCACAGTACCTCATCTGCACTGGGTTCAGAGCACACTGCTCCCTCCAGAAGCCAGAGGCACACAAGACACTCCAGGGAGGAGCTGGGTTCAGGGAGACCTTCACGCTGGCAGACACGTGAAGGTGCGGACAATGTCCCCGCTCAGGGTCCCCTCTGACACAGCCTGTGACTTCAAGAGGCAGAACTGTGCACGATTAAGCAATCAGCGCCAGATCAGCAACACTTCAATCAAATGAGGAACACACCTTGGCTGCAAATCGCTGTCTTCCAGTTTACGAGCTCTTATCTACTCAATTAGGTGGAGACATTCATGTGTTGTTGTACAGCTTTCTTGGGATTTAAAAGGTTATTGGAGGTCTTTAATCACTTTCCAGGTAGTCAAGCACTTTCTGCAGTTAACATTCAGTTCTAACACTTCATGACAGTTTTGGCTGAGCACAGAAACACAGCTGGCTAACGCCTGGATTTGTGACATTGCACGAGCAGATATTCAGTCGGCTTGAATGAGTTTAAAAATCCAGCTTTTCTCCCTGACCCTTTCTGGCATGGTTAAATCTCTTTGATACCGGGAATTAAGACTTGCACAAAGCAGGGCGAGGAAATGCCAGCTCAGGGCTATGTAAGGTGTTAGAAACAGCTGCCCAGCCCTTTCTCAGACCCGCTGAAATGCAGCAGAGTGTCTGCCTGCCACCGACCACTCACATGTGCTGAAGTGGAGCTGTTCATCCCAGGACCATCCTGGGAGCACAACAAGGGTTTGGCAATGAGCACTGGGCTCCATGCTGGGCCCTAGCAATGCTCCCACCCTGCAGGGAAGTTGTGTGGAGGAACAAGGGGATTTGGGATCATGTGTTTAAGTCACTTAAGCAATTGTAGGCTTGGTTAAAATCCAATTACGTGATACTCCGAGAACTCCAGGGGTATTTAAGGTGGGTTTGCATTAGAGTTTCAGTAAGGACAGTAACAGGAGGCTGAGCAAAGGAAGCCCCTCACACAGGCCTCTTCTTAGTCCACTCTTATCCCAAGCATTGCCTTTTATCCCCACAAGTAGCTCTTCACCTCTGTAGCTTTAGAGCCAGCCTAAGCCATCTGATTGTAATGCAAAACTAAACCAGCTTGCTTTGATATAGGTTAGGGCAGGGAGCTAGATCTCTACTTCAAGAGCTAAAGCTTGTAGAGAGCTTAGTGTTATCAGATCACTGTCATGGAGCCGGAGCCACAGATCTCCACTGAGTGTTTTAGCTCTTTTATATTCTGTCCTGACAGCTCCTCAGCCTCACCCCCACTGCCTGCCCCATCACAGGCCAACTGCTGCCCAGCTGCCAGATCCTGGCAGGCTTCAAAGGTCTGCACTTCTCTGTAAGCCCAGATCCACAAAGGCTCTGAGGGTTTCACTTCCAGAGCTATTTGGAGCACTTTGCCCAGCAACCAAGTGGATTTCAGTGGAAAACAGTATCTGAGCTGGGCTGAGAAGCAGCCACAGTGGCTGCATCTCCTCTGCAAGAACACAGCAACTGCATTTCATCTGTGAACAAGCTGTGCTCAAGTAGCTCCATCCTCTGGAGAAGCCTCTGCTCTAAATGGAAAACTGTTGGGACCCTGCAGAGATGCAGGTTTGTGCAGTGGCACAGACCTGCTGCTGCCTTCTACAGAGGCTGGGTTGATAAACTAGGTTTGTTTCTTCATCAGCTGGCTGAGCTGAGAAATACCTCCTCCTTCATGAAGCCGCTTTCATCACCACTGTGCCCCAAGAAAGCCACAAATGCTCTATGTTATCTATTTGCAGCCCAATTTCCGGGTGGCTGAGGAAGTCCTGCTGCTATCTGCTGGCACCTGGCACCTGGCACCATTAGGAGATTGTTGGTGGCATCAGCCAATGTTTCCTCAGGAACATTAGATTGTCAGCCCAATCTACATCATCTGATTAAGTCTGATTTGACTAACAGCATTTCCTACTAGACATCTGCAGATTCTTACCTTATTCGTTACCATGAGCACAGCTGCTGAGATAATGAGTGGGACACTCAGTCCAAGGAAGATATACTGCAGGTATTCCAGCAGCGATGGGAACAGCACCAGGTTGGTGTAAAACTGGTTTAGGACTGAGCCGTCGATGGATCCGCTCTGCTCAAAAAAGCAGAGTTGTCAGTGGCATTTCCCTCCCATCCAGGGCTGACACACACCAGCTGAACAATTCCTCTCCCACCCCCTCCCAGCCTAAATTAGGGAATTTATGCAAGATTCAGTCAGGCTAGAAGCTTTTACTAAATAGCTGGAGTCAGCTGGACATGCACACAGATGGGGGCTACACTCCCTGGCCCACATTAGTACAGGGATGCTGGCAGCTCTGTCCAAGGCCCTATTTAACCCCACATCTAGGGCAGAGCCAGAGATTTACCAAGTATAGTGCAGGGTTTGTTCAGCTCAGAGGGATTAATGACATAGCCAAGTATTGAAAAGCCTTCTGTTGGTGCTTAATTAGTCTGGCTGGCTTTAAGCTTTATCCAAAGTGGAGTTTCTCCAGCACTGGGTGATGGGGAAGCAGGAGAAGCTCTGCACAATCAGGTCGAGGAAGGCAGCTCACCTCTGCAAACCACAGCAGCGGCAGGACCACTGGCTTAATCTTCCCTGTTTGACTAGGGGGGGAAGAGAATTAAAAACAGAAACACACACTTAGATTTATGGTTGATCAAGCCACAATTAGTGCCATAATACTTCCTAAGGGGATGGGTCTGATAGACTGACAGTGGCCAGGAAACCAGTGTAAGGAGGTGGCAATCCCTGCTGCTTCAATGGGCTGCTCCCACCGTGGGGGACCAGGTCCAAGCTGGGCTTTTCATGCAAGAGCAGAGCTTATGCTTTGATTTGGGATGAACTGCCTGAGGACAGCACTAAGTGCCATCCCAAACCCGGGCTCCGGGGACATGAAACTCAGTGAAGCAGAATGCTGAAGTTCATGTCTCAGTCACCTGGGTGGTAGAATGGGGTGGTGCAGCCAAGTTGGCAGCATGGGGACTGCCTGCAGGTAAGTGCACCTCAGCCAAAGCAGCAAGAGCACACTCCCACCCTTGTGGATACTGAACATCTGGCACCACACAGCTTGGTTAAGAAACCTCCTGTTTGCTTTCATAGAGCTGGAAGTGTCTTTCTGGACACAGACTTCATTGTTAACCCTGCAGGCACAATGTTTGGCCTCTCCATGTTGGAGGTAACACCTGAGAGGCAACACAGCACAAGTGAACAGCTCCTACTTCATCAGGAGGAGCAGTCCATCTATGAGCTGTCTGGTCAGGAACAGGAATACTGTCAGAGCCGAGCAAACAGGCAGCCACACCTGCACTGCTAAAGGATGGCAGCTGGTGGTCACTGGAATGGCTGACATTTCAGCAGGAGCCAGCTGGCTCTGGCCAGTCAGGACAACTGGTCATGGTAAAGCTGTTTCATCTTTGGAGAGAGTAAACTCTGCAGTGGCTCAGCAGCACTTCCTGCTCAGGGAAGGGAGACAGACACTTCTAGAAGGTGACTACTTACATTATGCCAGACACCTGCTTTATGTACAGGTTCAGCTGGAGCTTGATAGAGCAATTCATGGGGATGCCCGTCATCTGCACAGGAAGACACCAACCAGTTAATCAATAACCTCTAAGCGACTTTGTAGGAACCAACAGATCCTGTCCAGCAATACCCCAAGACCATGAAAACATCACACTTCAAAGCCGGGTCTTGTTGGCACCCATTAAGGCAGTGGTTTCTCATGACTCTGCAGTTTTGCAACACATTTTTACAAGCAAAGAATTTTTGTTGGACTGTCCCTGTTTTACTCAGCAGACTGCAGCTAGATAAGAACATATTTAACTTTACTTTTATCAGTAGATGTTTGATACTGTAATAAACTTAATTAGATTTTCATAACTGCGATAAGAAAAGCAGTCAGAACCCAGTGTGCAGATAAGACACACAGTTTACCTGCCTCAAGAGGGGAAATTGGCTTTTAGCTTGAGCAAACATCACTGAACGTTTGGAAAAACTGACCATACACAACAGAGGCTGTGGGTGGAAAATCCCAAAGTCCCCTCCCCATCAGCAGCTGGGACAACACCACCTCAGGATGCCCCAACTCATGCCCCCTGGAGCGGTGACTTCACCCTTACGCTGTGGATGTGGGGAGTGTGACACAGCAGCAGACCAGGGCAAAAGCAGCCATTTCGATGGGCAGGTTAAGAGACTGGAAGAAGCTAGACCAAAAATTGGTGGTGCCAGCTTGAGCCACAGCATGATCTGCAGCCTTTGGCAGCCAGTTTCTCATGGCAATACGTGTTTGCAGATTTGGGGCATAGGTGGGCTGCTGCCAGATACACCTCCTGGTGTTATAGACCTGAGTCAGTAGAAAGAACTTGATTGCGCTTATCGAAACAATTACGCTTATAATTAGTCCTGCAATTCCCCAGAAGCCAGGCTAATTACTTAGTTAGTTTATGGCTTTGACATTTTTATCTGCACATGTCCTCACCAGTCTTTGCACTATGGAACCTGCTCAAATCAATGCCATGAGAGCAGAGTGTGGCCACCACTCAGCTGATGGCAGGCTCCCTTCCCCTGCCTGGGCTGGCCTGTGGGGAGATGGGAGGACCCCAATGGGTTCACTTACGGGGTGCACATCCAGGAAAAGTGCATGCTGGTCCTTGCTGGGGTTCAGGCCCACGACGGCATTCACCAGGGAAGGGTCGGCGTTGTAGAAGTGAGGGTGGGAAATGAACATTGGTGCATCTAGATGAGATCAAAGGCATCTTAAGATCCTCCACACCCACCTGGAACACTTTGTTGAGGTTTCTAAGCCTTTGCATTACCTGTTCTGAACAGGCTTTTATCCCTTTCTCCTCCCGACCAGAAGGCTCCTTCCCTTCCCTCCCCACAGGTTATCCCATTGCCCTGAGAGGATTAAAACCAGCCACCCTCTCCTACCATGCACTGATCAATGCTGTGGTAACTCGCTGTTCCCAGATGCAGGTCAGGACACTAAGTTTGGATTCTTGCTCCTGGGTGACCCACACTTAGTATTCAAAGCCAACATTTAATTTGCAGTTACATGAGCTGCCTCTTCCTCACTCCCCTGCCTGCTCCCCACCCCAGCTCCCACTGTATCCTTGGGCATTCCCACAAACACCACGCTGTCCTAGGGCCAGGGACCAAAGGAACTTTGGGCACAAGGGTTTGCCTTCCTTCCCTCCTTGCTGAGGTGCCTGTGGAGTGCGTGCAGAGCCCAGCAGCACCTTTCAGCACTCGGGCAGACACCAGAGCCGGTTTTCCAGACAGCCAAGCTTGTATTGTCTCAAATTTAATATCGGTACGGCAGGGACAGACGGGACAAAAGGACTTACTGAGCCTACAGGTGCTGACGTTCTGGATGCCAGACTGCATGCAGGGGCAGAAGCCCTCGTTGGGTGGATAGTCTGTGCCATTGGCAAAGAGGGTTTTCGGCGCCACGAAGCGATAGGTGGGAACACCCTTGAACTTCCCGGACTGCTCGTACACCAGTGTCATGGATCTGGGTTTCGGTGGAGAAGGATCGGAATTAGCCAGCATGATCCCAGCTCAGAATTGGGTTCTTATCTTGGCTGGATAAGATGCAGTTGCAATGTAACTTAGACTTTGAGATCAAGATAAACCCTCAGAGCAGTGCTTGGGATGGGGAATGAATATTTAAGCTTTTTGCTTTCCATGTTTTAAGCACAGATAAAGGGCTGGTCAGGACTAGCTACGGAGAGAAACCACAGGCTTATAAATCTGTTTGCTGTATCCAGGTGAGATTTGTTTAAAAGGCATGTAGTAATCCCCAGGGCAGCTCTCCAAGAGATAATACCACTTTGTGCAAGCCTTGGCTCTGAGGTGCTCCATTACAGGGGATGGACACTGCATAAATCTCTTTTGAAGCCCAACTCCAGCCATTGTCAGGGGAGTGGAAAATTTTACCACATGACACGGCCAGATTTTTTTTCTTGCTACAATAGGCTATTGATGTTACACTGCAGTATTGCTACCAGCTGGCCAGGATCGATGCAAGTTTCCAGGATAAAAGTTTGCTCCCTTCACACTTGATTGAGGCTTGCAGGGATCACAGAATGGGTAAGGGGTCACAGAAGGGACCCAAGACAGCCTGGGCCTGCCAAGGGGATGCTCATGCCTACAGATGCCTTCTGACACCAGGACTAAGGATTCAGGGCATGTCGAGTACTTACACTCATGCCTCTTGGCTCTGCTCACCTTCCAGCAGGGAGGCAGAAGCTGCTGTAGCACATCACCAGGGTAAAACCTTGCTTACCCTGCAGGGATAACCAGGTAGTTGCACCTCAGC